CTCAGTACCTGTGTATACCTCTCTTCTCCACTCAATACATGTGTATACCTGTGTTCTCCACTCAATATTTGTGTATACATGCATTCTCCACTTAGCATATGTGTACGCCAGTGTTCTTTGTGCAGTACCTGTTCATGTTTTCCTCTGAGTACCTGTGTATGCCCATGTTCTCCACTCCATATCTATATCTATATATCTCTATATATCCATATCTATATATCTATATATATCTGTGTTCCCAGAAACACTCAGTACCTGTGTGTATCTGTATTCCCCACTCAGTACCTGTTCTTACCCCTGTTCTCCACTCAGCACCTGTGTATATCCATGTTCTCCACTCAGTACCTGTGTATACCTGTGTTCTCCTCTCAGCACCTGTGTATACCTGTGTTCTCCAATCAGTATCTGTGTATACCTAGGAAGACAAAAACCTGTGCTTGCAAAGAGCTCATAGTGTGTTTGCCATGGAGGTGGTACTGTCCCCTTGAGGAATTCTAGGAGTCAGTGGGGTCTTTCTATGGTCACAGTGACTATGCACCATTAGACGAGCTGAATAGTGAAGAACTATTCCATATCCTACACATGCTCAGATGTTTTGATGACAACTGATATAAGTTAATTTAGGTGAAAAAACTGTTGATTGTTATCTGAACCTAGGTCAGAATGCCATTTTATATGCACGCAAAGTGTGTTTTGTATTATTGTTATACATATTTAATTTTTCAGGAATTTAACAATATGAAGTTTGATGGAAGACTGAACTTTGTTCTTCCTAAAACCTTGGCAAGATTTGTTCCTCATTTCAGAAAATCCCAACACTAGAGCCCACACTGACTGGGCTTCTGCCTTACCAACACCACACATGCATCTCGGTTTCCTTCCCTGGTATGTTCATGGCACTGCTATATAACAATGCTAGCTATCACTGTTTCTTTATGTCTTCTAGTGGAGCTTAGTTTTTTATAAATTACTTTCCCTTTATTACTCCTTTACAGTATAGTTATGCCAGGATATTGATTTTTAAAAATTATACATGTAGGTAAAATATATGTACTCTGAATTTCATTTTGGGAGAGCAAGTAGGTTGTTACAAAGGATGTATTGCAAAAGCAATAAATAGAAGAGATTAAAGAAATCTGATATAACTGAGAACCACCATCCTACAGTAAACACAAATACACAGATCATCCTGGCATCCCTGTTCCACTGTGATGGCAGAAGGGACGGCCTGGCATCATTACTCGAGGCCCTAATTCATATATGCATTTTTGTAGGATTACTCTTTCTCTTGGATATATTTCTCAGTCGTTTTTTTTTCTTTAAAGGAGAAACTGAAGCTAAAGGAAATGCTGTTGGTTAATGAGATGCTAAAGAAAGTAATGCTTCTTACAGGGAGCTTTTACACAAAGGGAACAGGCGGGTGGGGCGGAGGGTTGCGGAGAGTAGAATGGAGCAGAGTTAGAGGACAGCAGGCAAAAACGCAGGAGTGTGGCTAAGCTCCCTTGATCCACACTGCCACAGCTCTTCTTCCAGAACTTACTGCATACAACATCTGGTACAGAATGCTTACTTCTCCTTTCAATGGAATTTGACAACTGTGGGTTTAGCCTAAGAAGTAAAATTCAAAACCAGACTGAAATTTGAAACTGTGCTGTAGGTTGCCAGGTGATCCAGGCCAGGAAGGTTGCTAGGGACAGGCTTGGGACGGCTGTGGACCAAAAACATGTCAGAGTTTCCTAGAAACTCCAGAGTTTTCATTCTCTTTAAAGAGAAAAAAAAAAAACTGGGCAAACACCCAAACCCAACCACTAAGGGAGGGGCAAGGAAACCAAACTAAACAAAAACAAAACAACAAGAATGCAGAAGCCCAGAAGGCCTTATCCTAAGAAGAACAGACAGACCAAGCAGTTGTCCTGAGAAAAACCATTTCCTCTCTCCCCCACCCCAACTCCTAATATCATAGCATTCCTTTAGAACTTGGCTGAGAAGCTCAGCAGATGGTCTGGCTCCACATGCTGGGAAGTCTCAGCATCAGCTAAATACTAGGTCTAGGCCAGGAGTCTAGGCATGGGGGAGTTCGTGGACAGCCATGAGAGAAACGCCTTGGTGTTATTAGCCGAAATAGCAAGCATTCCTGAAAGCCTACGACTGTGTGTCAGTTCTGACAACAACACCCCGCCCCTTCCTCTGCTCTCAAAGAGGAGAATTTTACTTTGCTACACATTTTGCTTTCTTCCACTTCTCGGTCCTTGAAACATAGCATCCCTCCTTCAAGAGCCCAGTACATGGCCACATCTCCCTCCTCTGAATGTTCACGAACACAATTCACCTGGCTTCCAGTTGTCCTGCCGTTATCTGTGACAATCATTCTAGAGGCTGGTGTTAAGGTGAAGTGGGAACTTTATGTGGTTGTTCTGTGAGGTGTGCATATCACTATTCTCATTCTATAAAGAGAAAATGACAACACAGAGAAAAGTGACTTGGCCACAGCAATCTTCAGGTAGGTAGTGGAACTGGTGTTTGAATTTTGGTCCAAGTAATAACTGTGGCAGTACAATGTTCCTTCTGATCCTGGAGAGCAGATCCCTCTAGTCCCGAGTCACCTGGCACTTCCTTATTTGTAACTCTGACTACATACACAATTACTTGTCCAGTGTCTGCCTCCTCCACTAGGCTGTGAGTTTCAGAGGATAGGAATTGTATGTGTGTCCACATATACATATACAGGGGAGAGAGAGAAAGAGATTATATATTTAGATTTTATATATATAGTATGTGCGTGTGTGTGCATGTGTGTGTGTGTGCATGCGTGTGTGTATCCCTCCCTTTTCCCTCTGTCCTCTAGTCTATGGTATGCCTGGTATCAATAACTATATGTCTGTGATGGTTCCAGTTCTTAGAAAATGGATCAAAAAGGCATTTGGACTATGTGTAAGTACAAAGAGTCCATTCCCAATCATTTATAAAATAAAGTCAATTGCAGAACCTGAAGAAAGGGAGGGAAAATTTTTTTCTTTTTAAAGTATTTACTGTGTTCAAGACACATGAAGTTTCCTCTTTTGACAACGCTATGTCATCTAAAGCTAGTTTTATCTACACTCCTATCCACCTTCCGAGACAGATCACATGGAAAAATATTTGTCTGTTATATAATTAGGAACATAAATTATTTAGTGGAAATTCTGATGGATCGTATGCTTATTATTAATTAAATATTCAACAGGATACAAAAGGCTAGGAAAAACAAAAGCTTCCTGATACTAACAGCAGGGGTATTTATGCTAGCCAAAACCAAGAATGACTAAATCAACTCTGGCGGATCCATACAATGGAATACTACCTAGCAATGAAGATGGACGAGTTATACATCCAACGGCAGTGATGATTCTCATAACAGAATTTTGAGTGACAGGCGACAGATACAATAGCATGCATAAAGTCCATTTATATGAAATCAAATGCTAGCAAAGCTCATCTATGGTGTTCAGTACAGAATACTGATTGCCCCAGCCATGGATGTGGTAGTGACTAGAGTGTTGGGGAACTGATATATTTCTCACTTGTGTGCTAGTCACATGCGCTCACTCAGGGAACTTCATTAGGCACTACTGACATGTGCAATTACTGTGCCATATTTTAATAAAGGCTTACTTTTTACTTTTAAAAAGTTCTCCCTAGTATCCATATGAATGAAGATGCACACACACTCACACACACACACACAAACACGCATATGCATGTAGACTCCTGCCCAAACCACCTTCTCTTAGTGCCTTTGCTATGCATTTCCTCACTTGGGTCTGTGTGTTCCGGGAACTAGGTAGAAGCTGACCTATCCTTCCACTCACATTTGTGGATTGGAGGTTGGAATTCAAACATTTACCCAAACACATCCAAAACCCACATGTGGCTTAAGCACAGATTCTCCTAGCCTCACATGAATGTTCGATTCATGTCTGATGAACTCCATACTCTAGTGACACAAAGGAAGCAAGTCATTGGTTGTAGAGAAGCCTACATCCTAATTGTATTAACTTGATTGATCAAAATCTAAGCTTAAAAGAAAGAAGCTACACAAGGCAGAGATGCTTTTCTTTTCGAAGTAACATTTTTAGAACAATTTTTAACCCTATTTAATGCTGAACTTCAATTATTTAGATATATTTTTCAAACATGATTAACATCATCCTACCAATATTTTCCACATTATGTTGAAATAGATAACTGGAATAATCCAACTTAATAATGCGATTTTACTAAAATATTTCACTGCACAATTAAGGGGAGGGGAGAGAGGGGAGAGAGATGGGGAGGGAAAAAGAGGATAGAGAGAGGAGAAAAGAGAGAAGAAGGAAAGAGAGGGAGGGAAAGGAGAAAGAGGAGAGAGGGAGGAAAAGGAGGAGGCGGGAGAGGGAGAGAGGGAAAAGGAGAGGGGGGAGAGAAAGAAAGAGAGGAGAGGGAGGATGGGGAGAGAAGGAGAGAGGGAGAGAGAGAAGAGAGGAGAGGGAGAAAGGGAGAACAGGCGAGGAGAGAAGAGAGAGGTCTTTTCTCTGGTGCCAGTTATTCAAAATTTCCCACAATATTTGCACAAGGGAATGCGGTAATCTACCATGTCTTGTCAGTGCATCCAAATTGTATTCTAATGATAGCAGTTTTAAGAAGACTGACGTCTTCTTGCACCTTACTCTGAATTTAAGGGAACACTTCATTGTCAATAACATTAATACAATAGTAATAAAGTCCAAGTGCGCTAAACGGAGGTAGGGTGAGGCACCTGAGCACGTCAGTGATCTGAGATGAGACGGTCTATAAAATGGATCAAGTCCTTCCAACGAGCCGGCTCTGCCCCCGTCAACCAGCAGAACTGGCCTGTGAAGGGCCCCAAGGGGGCACGCGGAGCCTGCCGGGCCCCTGCTCCCGGGCTCTCCCGGGAGGCAGGAGCGGAGCCTCCCCCAGCCCGCGGGCGCCGGGCGGGGCCGCAGCCTCCCGCCGGGACTCACCAGCAGCGCGCAGCCCAGCAGCGAGTCCATGGCGGCGGGAACCTGGCGAGCGCTGCGCGGTGCGCTCCCGACGTTATATAGGGCGTCGCGGGAACAGGAAGTGTCGCCGACCTTTCATGGGTCATCTTCCCATCCTAGACCCTGCACTTTCTTTTTTAGGAACCTGGGGCGGGAGCAGCGGGGGCGCAGCAAGCTCCCGCGTAACGCTGTGGGGCCGGAGTGGAGAGGCCCCCCAGAGGGTGGGGCGCGGGGGCGTGGGGTGGGCGGGGATGTTTGGGCCCTGGAAGGGGAAAAGAAAAAAAAAGAAAGAAAGCCACCGGACCAGACTGCGGAACAAAGCGGCCGCTGTCTCTGGGGCCCGAGGTGTCAGGCCTCCTGGCACCCGTTGAGGAGGAGGCAGGGCAGGGTGTACAGGATGGTCGGTGCGTTCGGCCTCTTCCACCCGGTGCACCCCTGCAGCCAAGATCTGGACCCGGTGGAGGGCGCCCCAGACATTGCCCTCCCCCCAAGAAGGCTATATCTCCGCTGGGCGGGGTCTGACCCCTTCCTCTGGAGCTCCGGAGCGCGGGTGACAAGGACCCCCTCTGCGCCCCTCGCTGCTTCTGAGCACTGTTCAAGGAGTGCAGTCACTGGTCTTGAAAGTTCACATGGATCTAGCAGAAGGAAATTGTCTTTTCTTTCCATTAAAAAAAAATTCAATAGCTTTAGGGGTAGGTGTAGTTTAGGGGTACATGATGAATTGTGCCCTGGTGAAATCTGGGCTTTTAGTGGCCTCGCACCGGAGAATGAACCTTGTACGGGACACACAATTATTCAGCCCTCACCTCCGTTGGCCTCCCAGACCTTGGGATCCTCCACTGTCCTTGCACCACACATAAACTTTTGCATCTGGTGACTTAGCTCCCAAACCTACTGCTGGTTGTCCACCCAAAGGAAAGTGGTCACTATGCTGCGAAAGCACCCACGTGCCTGTTTACTGGGCACAATTCATACTTGCAGAGATGTGGAACCAAACTAAATACCCATCAACCCAGTGAGTGGATAAAGAAATGTGGTATATACACACCATGGAATATTAATCAGATGTACAAAATAACGAATCAGTGTCTTTTGCAGCAACTTGGATGGACTGAAGGCCATTATCCTAAGTGAAAGAACAGCAGGAACAGCAAAAACAGGAAGCCACACACCTCATGTCCCCAAGATAGGGTCCACAGAGGGAACTTTTCTAGCTCACATCCAATGAACCTAAAACCTATGTTGTTCCTGTTCACCTTTTGCGTCTGGGGACTTAGAAAGGCAGGAGTATCCACCCAGGGAGCTTCACTGCCCAGGGTAGGGAGACCTGCAGGCCACTGTCCCCTCCACCAGCACCAACATTGAGCACTGTGGATCCTTTGGCTCCTACATGCTGAACTTGGGAGTGGCTTTCTCCAGGTCCTTCCACTGCCCTCAAGCTGTGGACAGATTGATGCTTTGCCTAAGGACTTGTATAAGGGCTTCGGTGCTTTGCATTAGGGCTCTTGTCCCCCTCCATCCCACCAGCCACTGGTCTGGGGTTTGATGATTCCAAAGGGCAGCCCGAGGCACTGCCTGCGGTTGGGGACTAGAATTCTCAGGTTGCACCGAAACTCTCTGGTTACAGATGGCTGAAAAGTCCCACAGAGCCGCTTTCTTATTGGGCAGAGTGTTGAATTGTGTGTCTCCTGACAAGAGCCTGTCCTGCTTTAACCCAGAGTTCAGGGAGAGGAAGTGAATGAGTCAGGTGAGGGCACTGCAGAGTAAGAATGGTTGTAGGATCACAGCAGCTGCCATTCAAGGAGGCATCCTTTCACCAGAGGTTCAGTGGACCCACAGAAAACACCTAGAGTAAAAAGTGTATGTGCTTCACTCTGAATCACAGGAGATGATGTCTTATCAGCTTTGTCTCTAAGGGGAGAGAACACAACAGCCTGCTGCTTTCTCAAGTGGACTAGTGAATTTGTGCAGGTCAGCAAGTGAGGACAAGACTGCAGGACTCCAGAGCCCCAGCTCCTGTTTTAAGGATCAGTGTGGACACCTACCACCTGAGACTCAGCACTCAGACTCACGACAGGACTCAAGATGTCCGTGTGCTTGGAGTAAAGCACTGCATAAGGAGCAGTGCTCTTGTTTATGCTAGTCATATTGGTCTAGGATGTTATATGAGGGTATTTTCTAAAAACATAATAAGAAGTCAATATGTGGGAGTCAGACCTTTGGAGAAAAAGAATCAAGGACTGAGTCTTGCAGAGCTAATCCTGGGAGAAGCTCATGTCCATGTCTCTGATTCTTCAAGACTGGTCTTGCGGGAATGTGGAAGGAAGAAATGAAAGTATGTTTAAAGTGTTACAGAAATGATGAGAGCTGTGAGCATGAAACACGGATGCCATGCATGCCAAGGAACTCAGTGCAGCGCCTGGCCTGTAGGCAGTGTTTGCTAAATTATAGCCATGATTGTTCTGGGGGAGTTCCTGAGGCCTCAGAGTCAGACACCTGGATCTCAGCTCCAGCCCCACTTTCTCCTCCTCAGCCCCCACCCCTCCGCCGTGCACAGCCAAGAAACTTCCTGCCTCTTGTATG